AGATTTACAGCGACAATATACTTGAAAACTACTCCTATGAATGAAGTGTAGTGTAGGAATTTAAAGTACAGAAATGTACAGAACAGGAAATATAAAAACTGGAATGAAATATGTAAAGTAAGACTGTTTTTTTAGATCTGAGCCTCCTCCCTTTCCTGGGGTCTTCCCTGCTATTTATACTCCCCAAAGATAACCATCGAACTGCACTTCAAATCGTCGAACTGCTCCTCTGTAATCGCTGATCATTCATGCTGCACTTCCACTACGCTTTCACTTGCAGTTAGGCTTCCCTCCTATATTTGAATTTGAATGTGAGTAACCGTTGAAGCCACGTCACTTTGCATCTCTTTGTTGATCCACTGCTACTCAGATCTTATAACAACCAATTTTAACTACCACGTGTATGATCAGGATCAGAGACTTGACTGGTTTCCCCATATTACCCTTACTTTGCCACGCGTCGAATTGTCACTGGCTTGCACAAAATATGTAGCCAACAGTAATGAATTACTATCCTGTCAAGACCAAAATTTTATTTTAAAAAGGGTATACCATTTAGCATGAAATTATTTGATTCTTAAAAATACATTTATTAGTGGCATGAAATTTTTACATTGCAGTGTATATTAAATATATTTTTATTTTCATTTTTACCAACAAATGAACATAAACATGTTTAAAATATTGGACAAATTACAAAAAAAACTCCAGAGTTTTACGTATTTTTTAATTTAAACTCGAAAGTTTTAATTTCATCAATTTAAATATTCAACTTCATTATGTGTCACAACCTACACTCATGTCAATCTCAGTTACTTTGTTTAACAATTTTTTTTTTAAAATATATGTAGCAATATATTATTTACTCTTTTAACTTCTTGTAAAACCACTTTTAAACTTGACCATACTAGATCACAAACTATCCTAACCATCCATTTAAATATTACCATGCACCTGACATAGTGGATAAACTCTCTCTCCTTCCCCATCTCTTTCGCCATTGAAACCTACCTGTTTCCTGCTACAGCCTAACGCCATCAAAACCCACGCTGCCTCTACAATCATCCTTCCCTCCCCCTTGCCCCACAGCCCATCGCCACCCTTTAAATGCACTGTTATAATTTGAAAACCTGGTTCCATTTCTTTTGGTAAAAATACTTCACTCAAAAAATAACTTTTGCAAAGTTTCTTTCGTTTAAGACTACTCATCTAGATAGTCTTTTTCTCTTCACATGGAAACTTGGGAATAATCATCAATTATCTTCAATAAGATAGTTAATTTGATGGGTAATAGCCTTCCCCATTGGATTAAGCATCCTTATAATAATATAAATTTTTTAAAATGCTTAAAATGCATCAAACGAGTGGAGCCATCCAAGCACTACCATTAATTTAATTTTATTTATTTTAAAAAAGCCCTAATTAATTTTATAATATGATAACTTTTGTATATGATTAAGTCACTCCATGTGACAGCAAAACATTTCTTTTCTTAAAAAATAAACTCATGCAAATTGTTGTCTAAGTGCTTGAACCTTGTACCAATTACCAAAGTACAAAAGAAACTTTGAAGACCAGATCAAATTTAGGCAATTTGTGTTGTTTTTAAGACATACAAAATAGTTTTAGAACTTTTCTCATTTTACAGTTGTATATGAATTGAAAACATAACAATAACTATACTTCTTGTCTTAATTCTTTGTTCTCATTCTTTTTGAGGTTTGATATGCTTTGTTCATATGATCCTTTTTGAATTCATACACATTTATAGATGTCCTATACAAAAATGTTTATTGAATTTGAAACAAAAAGAAATTTTGGATCACACTGTGTTATTGAGTGACATATAATCATGTTGTGTTTTCAGAATACTAAATAATTTCTCGTTTACTATAGCAAGAGCATCTCCATAAGATTAATTAAACTTTTAGTTATATTTTTAACTCTCCCAAAATTTAAATCTTTTTACTTGCTAATAAGCCTTGTTCTATTAAATTTATTTGAGATTTTTTTTTCTCTAAAATATTTCGTACAAAAACATTAACATTTAAATCAAAAAAAAAAATGATTTATTTCCCTAATTTTGCTCCTCCCAATTCCATCATAATGATGTGAAATTAGAGAGACTAAATTGAATAAGAGAGAGGGGGAGAGAGAGGGAAAAAAAAGGAATATAAAACTATTTTACATGAGTCTTAATCACATTATTGAGATGAAATTAAAAGCCTCAATTAGAAGAAGAATATAGCCTATCTCTTAAACCAACTAGTCAATTCTTTGTATAATCACTTTACCTCACAGTTCAAACAACCTCTTTTGTGGATAAGGTAAACTATGGGTATGGATTATTAGGACTATTTTGGAAAGCCATCCTTTTCTTGTAAAATAATGATCCCACACATCTTTCTAACCCCCTTAATTCCAATTTCCACCGGTCCTGATCATATGATTGACGCGATGAAGATTCTTTTCACATTTGAAATATAACATGGGTAGAATTGTCATTTCCCTCCGATCCCATCAAAATAATAATGAAAGTCTCTAAATACCTTCATTAAATTTCTTTCGCACAATTACAAACAAAACAAAAAAAAAACAAAAAAAAAAAAAAAAAAAAAAAAAAATCAGATTTTAAGTTTTGTAACAAAATAAAATTTTAATTTTGTTAAATTAAATACTAAACTTTTGATTTATTTTTAAATTAAACTAATTGTCTATTTCGTGAAATAAAATCGATGAAAAAATAGATATTTTGGTTATTAAACTCAAAATGATATTTTAAATATTTTATGTGTATTTACACTGAATTTAATGACTAAAATACTCATTTTTCATCAGTTTTATTTAATAAAAATAGGCTAATGATTTGGATTGAAAACAAATCAAAATATGATAGTTCAAATTGATAAAATTTAAAATTTAGAGTTTATTTTACTAAACTTTTGATTTATTTTTAAATTAAACTAATTGTCTATTTTCGTGAAATAAAATCGATGAAAAAATAGATATTTTGGTTATTAAACTCAAAATGATGTTTTAAATATTTTATGTGTATTTACACTGAATTTAATGACTAAAATACTCATTTTTCATCAGTTTTATTTAATAAAAATAGGCTAATGATTTGGATTGAAAACAAATCAAAATATGATAGTTTAAATTTAAAATTCAGAGTTTATTTTGTTATAAGGTTAAAAATTTTATAAAAAAAATTATAATTATCCAATTTCTTTTTACACATATTACATGCATTATAAATCTTTTGTACCTTACAAAAAAGCCCTTATACCTTAGAAAAAATGTGTAAAGAAATATTTGATGAGTGTTTTTAGAAGCTCTCAATAAATATACTATAGTAATTAAATTGAAATATCATTTGATATATCATCAAAATATTAGTATAAGATATAAAAAGTGATACATATTTAATCAATGCATTAATCACATATTGTATGGCATTGTAGACATGCCTGAACGTCCCAGCTCCGCGCGGCGAATGGCGTGAAATCTATTTTGTTCATTAGCTACTACAGTTCGGACTCAAAGGTCACAGTTCTGAATCTAATCTCACAAAGTGCAATGTGAGACCGATAAATCACCAAAGAGTCCAAATTTGGCAAATCATTTTGGAAAACTGATTTTTATAAAGAAGTGCCAAACATGGATTGCTTTGTCAGATACAGAGTCGCCACATAAATGTTTTTGTTTTAAGAAATTTAAGAAACCTTGACTCGTGTCTAAGGCCACGTATCCGTCATCACCAAAGTTGTCTCGGCTCGGGAACTTGGGTACGAGAGGGGAAGGTCATGCAATGAGCACCCCCGCTCGCCCGATCAAAGATCGGCCTTTACTAACATGATATTTTATTTTTGAAAACACATGTGTTCTTATTCCGGTTATTAACCTAGAATTACTATGTGATGCGCACAGCATACAAGTATAGACTAGATCGCCTAACAATTCCAATTCACAACATTTTCACATTCACAAACCCTATTCTACCAACATTTTCTTCAATTCACAACATTTTCACATTCATAAACCCTATTCTACCCACATTGTACCTACATTCACATTTTCACAAACACAATAAACACATAAAATTCAAACAGAGACAGAGACAGAGACAGAGACAGAGAGAGACGCCATACCAGCGAGAGAGAGCAGCCCATGGACGGAGAGAGAGCAAAGAGACAGAGTGAGAGCAGAGAGAGAGTGTGAGAGCAGAGGGAGCGAAAGCAGAGAAAGAGTGACAACAGAGAGAGCGAGAGTGAGAGAGAGCCTGAAGTCGAAAAAACCTAAGTGTAAAAAGCGTGGTTGCAAATGAGGGGGCTGGGGGAATTTTATATAAGTTGTAAAAGGGTGATTACAAACCACGCTTTTATTTAAAAGTAGATTTTGGTTAAAAGCGTGGTTATCATCCACGCTTTCTTTGGTCAACAGTAAAAGCGTGGTTCGCAACCACATTTTCTGAAGAAAAAAAAAATTATTTAAGGGCGTGGTTAGGAACCACGCTTTATGTATAAATCAAATTTCCTTAAAAGCATAGTTTGTAACCACGCTTTTATGATTTTACAAATTTTCCGCGAGAGGGTCACAAAAACGGTGAAAGCGTGGTTTGTAACCACGCTTTAGCATAGTTTGGGAATTCCGTCCAAACTAAGCCTAGTTTGGGAAATAGGTTGCTATTTTGCCTTAATTTGGGAAAAGCCCCCCAAACTAGCATTACTTTCCAAACTCAAGTCTCTGTTATATCACCTAAGTTTGAAGACCATAAGCTCTCTCCATACTCTTTTTACAGGTTTTAATCCGAATTTATATCGATGATCCAAACCGTCTATCTCATAAGCCTCATCATCTATGTAAAAAATCAACTTTATCAGAAAATTATAAGTATGAAAATAAATCGCATTTTGTTTTATAAAATAAATGGTAAATATAATTAAATTTAAACCATCTATTTTATAAAACAAAATGCGATTTGTTCCTATGATTATAGTTGTCCGATGAAACTCATTTTTTGCATGGATGACCTTCATTGCAAGGCTTACGAGACAGACTGTTCAGATCATTAGTGAGGGTCTAAATTAAAACCCATACAAGGAGTATGAAGGATATAAAGAAATGAGTTATGGAGAGAAACTCAGCGGCATATATACATACTCCTTGTATATTAGGTTTCTCTTGGTTTACTTATTTCCTTGTTGATTTGTTTCCATGTTTGGTCCTCTCCCTCACTATATAAAGGGGATTGTATATTCATTCATTGTCAATTCAATATACCCCTCTCCCTCTCTCTCTCTCTCTCTCTCTCTCTCTTGTAACACACAAGATTATTTCTTATTGCTAGTACAAGTTGGTTGCAGCAAAAAGCATTGAATGGGGAGAGAATTTACAATGAATGGAAGAAAGCTCACCAATCCAACTCAAATTCAATCCTAGAAATTGGTAGTCTATGAAAGAAAAGTGAAGGACATGGAATCAATGAACATCATCATAATCATCATTGAAGTATGCATGCTCAAGTGCATCATGGGCTGAAATTCTTCTAGCTGGATCCAAGCAGAGCATTTCCTGGATGCAAATGGGCACAATTAACAAAAACTACATGGTCCAAATGAGTGAGGGGAAAAAGAATAAAAAAAAAAATTGGCACAAAACATTTACCTATAAATAAATAAACTAAACATTTTGTAGAAAGAAAAAAGGAAGTAACATAAACATTTTATTAGAAAGAAAGTAAACAAAGCAGTACTCTATTTGTTTCAGCCGAACACAGTTTCCTATGAAGAACTTTTTTCTATGTTTGTTGCAACGTTGAAACTAATGTGCTAGTGGTGGTAGTGTTCATGTGGTGGCGGCAGTTAACGCTTTCCACCGTACCAAACGTAAGCAAATGCTGAAAACATTTTTCAAAAAATGTTCCTTGTCAAAACAAATGGAGCATAAGTGAGAGAGGGAAAAGGAAAAAAAGGAAAGAGAAAATTAAAAGAACATTATAAACTAGAGAAGACAGTTCAACTAAAGGCTGAATTTAAGATGGATATGGACTGAGCAATGATTGTCTAAGGCTGGACCATTAGGCTCTAATTTCATTGCTATCCAAAACAAAGCTAGTTGTTGCATTTATGGAAAATGTTTCTTCCAATCACTATTTCTCAACATACATTAGAAAGGAACTACTTACAGAAAGAAGATCAACTCCAGCCAGTTCAAGATTAGGAACAAATTCCACCAGGTTCTGCATCAAAGAAAGGGAGCGATTACGAAATCACAACTTGACTCGCAAAATGAATAAACTGAAAAGAAACTGATATTACCTTAGGAATCCACTTGGGAAAGTAAGTCTGGTAATACGGTAGTGAGGAGACTCCAGGCCATGTTTTTTCATTTGGTTTCCCCATAATCCTTCAATAAAAGAAATTGAATATAGTGAAAAAAGAAAAATGATACACAGCGTGCACAAACAAATGTACTTGTAAGCCATACAACACCTGAATATTTTAGTGAGTTGACCAATCTTGGAGCGACCATCAAACAGAGGCCGACGCATAGCCATCTCAGCAAATATACAGCCTACAGACCACACATCAACAGGGGTGGAGTATACCGGGGAGCCAAGGAGGATTTCGGGTGGCCTGTATGACAGAGTTACTACCTGAAGAAGAAAATTACCAATTATATTACATTCATGCACACTAACTGAAATTTAAAGATCAAAATACGAAGATCAACTTCATTTTAAGGCAATTGTTGTTACAGACGGCCTCTAGGTGAAAAAAATATATCTATATTGAAACCTTGAAATACATCTTTCATTATTCCATTAAGTCATGTTTATGACGATTGTGCTTCCTCCATCAACAAATGTTAAAAGAAGAATGTTTCATTAACCAGTGTACTTGAGGCCAGAAAATAAAAAGGAAAAGAAAACCATATGTGAAAATCCACTAAGGTGAAGGTCAAATTCTCACAATTGCCATGCCAAAACTGAAAAAATCAGATGAAAGCAATGTGGATTAGAAGCAGCAATAAAAATAGACAATTTAAAGGCTATCAGGTGAAATGAACTTAAAAGCTACAAGAAATACCTCCGGAGTATGTCCGCCAAAAGGAATATCAAATTTCTTGGCCCATTCAAAGTCTGCAATCTTCACTCTGTAGCCATTGAGATCTAGCAGTAAATTGGAAGGTTTCAAGTCTCGGTGGAGAATTCTGCGCTTATGACAGTAGGAAACACCCGAAAGAATTTGACGCAGAAAATTCTGCAAAAAGGGGTAAAAAAAAAAGAGAATCAGAAGTAAGCCAACATCATCATAATACACAAATGAGCAGTACATAAAATACAATATGGAAAAATTTGTCAACAACCTTTATTCTATGTTTATCCATAGATTCCTCAGGATAAATCTCCATGAATTTCTTCAGATCAAGGTCCAGAAGTTCAAAAATGATATAACATTCATTGTTAATATTGCTTATTACATCCAGCAACCTGTTACATCTAGATCCTGTTAAGTACTGTTAAGAAAATACATGATGAATTATAAAAAGTACTAAGGATGCAATCTATTTATCAAAGAAAAAAAATATACATCACCTCACTGGATTCAAAGGAAATCTGTTTATCGTATGGTGTGTTCATAAACCATGCCTAAGGCAGATTTCGAGTTTCAAAAAACATCTTCATGAACCCCGACAAAAATACAAGCAAAGATGTTTTCTTGCCTTCAGTTTGAGCTCATTTGATTTGTCAGATGTGATATGGAAAGCATTGTCTAATTGGTGATATGACAGGTTATGAAACAAGTTTCATAATTGGTCACACAGAAGTTATGAGGACTTTTATTATTTTGTGTGAATTGTCACCAGATCGCATTACTTAGATGCATTATTCCATTTCCTTTGAAACCATAACACAGTTGTCATGACATGCTTAATCTGATCTTTAGTGACATCCTTAGGTGACGCAAGCGTATTAATTGTAATGTTGCATGAGGGGAGGTTCCTGCCTATGTTACTTGGAACACAAATCGTTTCGGTAATGAGGAACAGTAACGGTAACGTGGTACGACACGGGTAGGCTTATATAGATCACACTATTGGGATTTAAGGTGCTAACAGTGAGTAATTTTCTTCTAATAATTAGACATCTAAACAAACAAACAACACCCAATTAGTACCCATTAATGGTTATTTGGGAGGGGTTAGATTAGGTACATACCTAACCTTTGGCATAAATGCACAAAGTGATTGTCCTCAGAGTTGACCCATAACCTCAAGATTAGTAGCCAAGGTTTTAAACACTGAACCGGTGGTTTCCCTTTAGCAATTAGACATCTAATATACAACAAGATTTTAGGAGTTCTTCTTCTTCTTCTTCTTCTTTTTACTCCACTCTCTTTAGGTTTTAATTCATTGTATTGATTTTTTAACCGTTAAAAAATAACTTTTAAGAAAATACATTGAAAAAATAGTGAGATCACCTTGGATGATTGCTAAGTCCACCGTTTCAAAAAACAAAAGTCTATCATCTTTCAAAATGTGCATTCCAAACAGTAAATTGCTAGGGTATCATCACAAAGGTAGTGTTAATTATCCAAAAAACTCAATTCCATGTGCCTACACACACACGCGCGCGCACACACAAAAAAAAAAAAAAAAAAAAGCTTAGAAACATTGATCTCATTTTTAATGTACTTTTAGTAAGCAAAACTCCAAGGAGAGAAAACTTACTTGACAATGTTGTCATGCTCCATCTCTTTCAGCAGAGAGATTTGTCGGATTGTGGTACTTGGGATACCATACTTGTAGTGCTTAGAATGCGTCTTCTTTATAGCTACAGTCTGATTAGTCTTGAGATCAAGACCTCTGTGAACAACACCATGGGCTCCGCGTCCAATAACCTCACCCATCTGATACTGCCAAATCACCAGCAAGCTTTATTGACAAATATAACATAAATTGATGATGATGATGATATTGAACTGCATAAGCACAAACAGATCCTCTACCTTTTCCATTTGATTGGATCAAAGCTATTGAAGGATAATCAGAAGATGTTGGGATCTACATGAAACAGGACCAAAATTTTAGGATTATGCTCAATAGTAAAAAAAGATAGTTAAAAATATTAAACTCAAGCATACATTAATGTAAAACAAACATTCCCCCAGAAAAATTAAAAAATTAAAAAGAAAAAATCCGGCAAACAAGCATCACATATGCAATGAACAGAAAGAGAGAAGTAAAAAAATTGAAAGAGAAGAAAAAATCCACTAAGGCGGATTTGGATAGGAATTCGGAAAGGGAAAAGAAAAGGATGGGAAAAAGGCAAGTGAAATATAAGCTAATTTTTTTCTCTATTTCCTTCGCCTTTTCCGTTTTCTTTCCAAATCTCTATCAAAATCCATAATCCAAATACAACCTAAATATATGATAGATTGATTTCAACTTGACTTTTGTTAAATGGCAAACCCAGATATTATGTGTGTGAAAAGATGAGAAAGTGAAGCCATTGAGTGATTATATCATATAACTATCCATATAATGTTGGAGATCTAAGATCCCGCCCAAGACCTTTCACAAATCATACCAAGTAGAAAAGCAACACACACCCAAAGAAGACAATATTTAACGTAGTTCGACCCAATGCGTACATCACGGGAGACTAACCGGAGATTCACTATATAATGGAGATTACAATGGAAGAGGAGGGAATCCACATCCTCACTCTACTCCCACAAGGCTCCCCTCCCACACAGAGGGAGCCTCTCTCTGCCTCACTCTCTCATGATAGTCACACGTCTCCCTCTCTCACACAGAGGGAGACTAGCTCACTCACACTAAGCCCTCTCAACTGTTTCCACACTCACACTAAGCTCACTCCTCAGCTTTTCTATTCATACACCAAGGAGGGAAGAAGGTTGGCTGACACTATCCCGCAATCACTCCAGATTTTCTGTACCACTCCAGCGCCTCTGACAGTTCTCCGTGTGCGCCATACTTCGCCGAATTCGGTACCTCCATTCCTGAATTCTTCATCGGCATGCACCGTTCCTCACATGGGGTGATATCCATATCCAACATATAACATGTGTATGTATATGTAGAGATTTGTATATCTATTTATATTCATTCGTCAACATCTTCAAAAAAATAAGGAAATTGAGAACATAAATTCAATAAACAGACCCAACAATATTCAATTCAAACTTGAAACCAAAACAGCTATATAATACATACATCCGTGGATATATATATATATATACTGAAACAAACACTTCGATCGAGGATTTTGGATAATCAGAAAATTGAAAACAATAGGCAGAGAGAGAGAGAGAGCTTACTTGATGAAATTGTTTCCCTATAAATGGCTCTGTTCGTAGTTGAGATTTGAGAGAGAGAGAGAGAGAGAGAGATGGTTGAGCGCCAAATGAGATGAAACTCCCTTTAAATATGTCACCCTATTTTCCAATTAAAAAAGAAAAACTAAAAACTAATTTGTAAAAATAAAAAAAAAATGAAAAAAAGAAGAACCCTCATAATTTTTAGGAAATATTACAAAAAAATAAAATAATCAGGATTTGAGTCTTGTAATAAAATATTTTTTTTATTTTTTATTTTATCAATTTAAATTGTAATCTTTTAATTTGTTTTGATTTAAATTATCTACTTATTTTCATTAAGTAAAATTTAGGGGATTTTTTTTTAAAGGCCCTAGTATTAAGAATTTATAGTATAAAGGATACTCAATATTTTCATAATGTCTAAGGTCCCTCAACATTGATCCAAGAAAAATTCGATCCAGAGAATTTCTCTAGACAAATCACAGAGAAAATTTCAAATTTATCTGGACACATCATAGAGAAAATTCTAAATTTCTCTGGACACGTCACAGAGAAAATCTCATCAGATAATTTCTCTGGATTCAACCCAGAGAAATTTTCCTCTCTATCCCAGAGAAATTTACTCAATTCTGGAGAACATTCCCTCCAACCAGAGAAATTCACTTGTATTGTTTGCAGTTTGATAGCATTAGTGATTTGGATGCATATTCACAGAGAAATTTCAATTCAAACCAGAGAATTTCTCTAGATCAATCCAGAGAAAATTTAACTTAAACCAAAGAAAATTCAGTTCAATCCAAAAAATTTCTCTGAACAACCCAAAGAAAATTCAGTTCAACCCAAAGAATTTATCTGGACCAGAGAAAATTCAACCTCTGTTTATTTTGATGTTCCAGAATTTTGGTCTCACAAGCCCCTTACCAACGGTGGCCTTGGCAGTTACAGCCTTGTTACCTCCCCATCTCTCTCTCTCTCTCTCTCTCTTCTGGGTTTTTTTTTTGGGTTAAGCTCTCTTCTTGTTCTTAAGGTAGAGATAAAAGAGGTCCTCGGAAAAAAAGCTTTACAATGAAGTGGGTTGAAGATTTTTGACAAATGTTAGGAATGGGGTAAATCCACAGTCATCTTCTCCAGCAATTAACCCACCCAAAATTCCGACCAATTCCACCAAATTTTCGATCAATAGGCCCAATCCTTCAACCAAATCCTCCTTAATCAAACTGGGTTTATACACCTACCACCGCTTCCGTCAAAACCCAAACCCAAACCCACTTTCACTGCAACATCAACATGAAAACTTCTTCTCCTTTTTACTTCACCAAACTTCCAAATCCTAACCATATTTCAAGACACAAATTTTGCATTTTTCAAATCCTTTGACTGCATTCAAATCCAATTTCACATATTTCATTTGAATTCTCCTCTGAAACCGACCTCTCGGAACTCAAACTCTTCTTTTTCTTCGTTTTCTTGTTTAGTGGTGACTTCTTCTACTTCATTTTCGGTCTGCCCTGCTGTTACTCCATTCTTCCCTTTCTTTTCTTCGGTCGCCAATGGAGATTTGAGTGTTGGATTTGAGATTTGACTCATTCGAGTTGACAGCGGGGCGGAGAAGGTTGTCATGAAGGAGGTGATCGATTTTGTGAGGCTGTTGGAGGATGAGATTGACAAGTTCAATGCTTCTTCGTTAATAAAGAGAGAGTGGAGAGAAAGGAAGAGAGGGAGAGGCCAATTTGATTTAAGAAAATCAAATTTGTTTGTGATAACGTGTGGGTGTGGGGTTGAGGGATATTAGAGACTATAAAATAATATTGTGAATTTTTTTCATTATTAAAAATGAGAGAAGTATCTTAAATTAATTTTTCTTAAAATATATAGAAAAATTATATTTTAGCTATTATATAGTCAATGTAAAAATATTTAAAATATCATTTTTTTATTTAAGAAAATCAAATTTGTTTGTGATAACGTGTGAGTGTGGGGTTGAGGGACATTAGAGACTATAAAATAATATTGTGAATTTCTTTCATTATTAAAAATGAGAGAAGTACCTTAAATTAATTTTTCTTAAAATATATAGAAAAATTATATTTTAGCTATTATATAGTCAATGTAAAAATATTTAAAATATCATTTTTTTATTGAGTTTGATGGCTAAAATGTATTTTTCCCGTTAATTTTGCTTAATAAAAAAAAGAAAATAATTTAAATTGAAAATAAATAAAGAAAAATTATGATTTAAATTGATAAAATTAAAAACTCGACATTTATTTTGTTACAAAGTTCAAATCTTGGAATTTTTTTTTTGTAGTTTTTCCTAATTTTTATATCTTTTTTGGGGCAAATTTTTAAAATGTTTTTTTGATACTTATTTGTGTCAAACTAATTTTTATTTATTTATTTTTTAAGAATTAGAAATTAAATTATGAAAACCCAACCAAACAAGTTTGGTAGTCTAAAAGAGCATGTGCAAATTGTGGAAGAAATATTTACTCTTTAGCTAAACTTTAAAAAAATAAAAATAATAAAAATAGGGAGGGTTATTGGAGATAATCAAGTATTATGCAGTCGTAAAATTTAAAGAAGCAATGTGTAATTTTTTAAAAATTTGAAGGCAAACTGCATTTTTTCTCTCTGTCTAATGAAAGTTTAATGAAGCACTTGTAATAGTTTGTATCTCTAACTTACCAAATAGACAATTTAAGGTACACAAATCCAAGGAATTGGGATGTTATTGAGTTGAGATAGACTATATGAATGTGTTCATAGAAGCTAATTACAATCTAAACAATATGTAAAAAATTTAAGTGGGGAGAAAATTTACACTCATAGTCATGGAATTATGTTTGCAGAAGAGCCAGTTGGCCTAGCACAAGTTGGTTGCAGCAAAAGCTTTTGAGTGGGGGAGGAAATTTACAATGAATGCAAGAAAGATCACCTAGAGATAGTCTGTCAACATAACAACAACAACAGCAGCAAAGAAAAGTTATGGACATGGAATCAAGGAAAGTCATCATAGTTGTCGTAGTCTTCTTCTTCTTCGTCTGCTTCTTCTTCTTCTTCTTTGAAGTGTGCATGCTCAAGCGCACAAGGAGCTGAAATTCTTCTAGCTGGATCCATGCAGAGCATTTCCTGGATGAAAATGTGCAAAAATTAACTTAAACTACATGATGTTCCTACCAAGAAAGAAAGTAGACATTTTGTAGAATCGAAGAAAGTAACATAAACATTTTCCTAGAAAGAAAGTAAACAACTCTGTTTGTTTCGGCAGAGACTGTTTTCCAAAATAAAAATTTCGTAGAGAAATTTTTCTATGTTTGGTTTTGACCTTGAAACTAATGTGCTAGTGGCGGTGGGTGGTGATGTTGTGGCAATGGCAGGTAGAGTGGTAGTGATGGTAGTAGGATGGTGGTGGTAGTGTGGTAGAGATGGTAAAACTTTAGTTTGGAAAATGCTTTTCACCTTTCAAAATTTAAAAAATTTCTCCCAAATGCAATAAAGGTTTTTCAAAAAGCTTTTCTATAGAAACAAATATAGCATAAGTGAAAGAAAGAAAGAGAAAACTAACTGAACATTATAAAGTAGAAAGGACAGTGCAACTAAAGGTGAAAAATGGATATAGACTGACACTGAGTAATGATTAATTGCTATTCAATAGGATCATTTTCATTGCTATTCAATAGGATCACACATAAGGAAAATGTTTCCTCAAATCACCATTTCTCAAAACACATTAGAAAGCAACAACTTACAGAAAGAAGATAAACTCCAGCTGGTTCAAGATCAGGAACAACTTCAAACAGGTTCTGCATTGGGGAGGGGGGGAGGAAGGGAAAGGGATTACAAATTTATAAATTCAATTGCAAAATAAATTAACTGAAGCAAAGCCGATATTACCTTAGGATTACAGCTGCGAAAGTTAGTGCGGTGGTAGTACGGTAGTAAAGTCACTCCCGGCCATGTTCTTTCATTTGGTGCCCCCATAATACTTCAATAAAAGAAACTGAACATAAATAGGATTGTAGTAGAAAAAGAAAAAGTAAAAAATGATACGTGTGCACACAAACAAATGCATTTGCAAGTCATGTAGCACCTAAAAATTTGATGCAGATGATCAAGCTCAGTTTCACCAGCAAACAGAGGCTGACGCATAACCATCTCAGCAAATATACAGCCTACAGACCACATGTCAACAGGGGCGAAGTATACTGAGGAGCCAAGGAGGATTTCAGGTGGTCTGTACCATAGAGTTACTACCTGAAGAAAAAATTACCATTTATTTTACATTCATGCACAGCAATTGAAATTTCAAGATCAAATTTAGACAGTCTCTAGGTAAACAAAAACACATGGACAAGATTACTGAAACCTTGAAGGACATTTTTCATCGTTCAACAAAGTCACGTGTTTATGAAGATTACAATTCCTCAATTAGCAAGTGTTAAAATAGAAATGTTCTATTAAGATTCTCACGATTGCCAATCCAACAATGCAAAAAATCAGATGAAAGCATCACGACCATTTAAAGGCTACATTCAATCGAAATAAACTTGCACTCTATTTTGGCAGAAAATGTTCTTTTCTTTTTGGAAAATGTTTTTCGCATTTACTGGTATTCAGTAACGGAAGTCAATAGAAAACGTTTTCCATGGTCAACCGAAAACAAGCTTATTTCCATATTAAAGTTTAATCAACACCATTGCCATCACTGCCACCACCCCCACCATCACACTACCACCCCACCACCACTAATACAACCCCACTAGCAAGTGCATTAGTTTCAAGGTTGCAGCCAAACACAGGAGAATGTTATTTTGAAAAATATATTCTGGAAAGATGTTTTCGGCCAAAACAAATAGAGCATAAAGGCTACAAGAAATACCTTCGGAGTATATTCCCTAAGAGGATTGTGAAATTCCCTAGCCAATCCAAAGTCCGCAATCTTCACTACAGAGGCATAGAGATCTAGCAGTAAATTGGAAGGCTTCAGGTCTCGGTGCATAATTCTCTTCTTATGACAGTAGGCAACACCCGAAAGAATTTGATGCAGAAATTTCTGCGAGAGAGAGAGAAAGCAACACATTATAATAAGACAAACAAGCAGTAAACAAAACATTCCATTGAAAAATTTATTGACCAACCTTTATTATTCGTGGATCCATAGAATCGGGATAGGTGTCCATAAATTCCTTCAGATCAAGGTCCAAATGTTCGCAAATGATATAACAATTATTGTTAATATCGCTTACTACTTCCAGAAACCTGTTAACTAGATCCTGTTAAGTATCTGTTAAGAAAGTATATAATGAAATATATAATTAAAAAAAAAAAAAATAAGTAAAGAAAGAGACTAGTTCGAAATCCATGCGAATTTAACAATAAAAAGACATAAAAACTTACATGTTAGAATTTCCAAGGAAGGCATTACATTCAAAAAGTATATACTCGATGAGGTGAATTATAAATTTAAATCTTACACAACCTTAATTCAACCAACCATTAATTTACAAATTCACTCATAAGAGAAATGGGAATCTTTCTCCGATATTCAATATAAATATAAATTCTACACAAACTCAATAGTGATTTGAGTATGAAAAAGGTTTCATAGTTGGTCACACCAAAGAAATGAGGACTTCTATTGTTTGTCACGCACGCCTATGTGCACTAGCTGTCACAGTATCGCTTTAATTGAATGCATTATTTCCTTTCCTTTGAAACCATAATACAATGGTCATGGACATGTTTAATGTTATCTTTAGTGACATTCTTAGGCAAGGGAAGTGTATTAATCATAATGCATCATCACAAATATACATTGATAGATTTTTAATGAAATTTTTCTTCTTTTTTTTTTTTTGGGTTAAAGAAATAACTTACTTGACAATGTTGTCATGCTTCATCTGTTGCAGCAAAGAGATTTCTCTCATTGTTGTATGTGGGACACCATCTTTGGGGTCAAAATCATATGTCCTCTTTATAGCTACAGTCTGATTAGTCGTGAGATCAACACCTTTGTGAACAGCACTATAGGCACCGTGTCCAATGACCTCACCTATCTGATACTGTCAATTCACCAGCTAGCTTTATTGACAAACGAAACATAAATTGATGATGACATTGAAATAGATAAGCACAAATAGATCATCTACCTTTTCCATTTGATAGGCTCAAAGATACAAAAGGATAAACCAAAGATGCTGTGATCTAGAAATTTGAAACATAACCAAAATTTTAAGATTGGCTCTCAATTGTACATAAAAAAATGATCATGAAAAATCTTAAACTCAAGCATACATTAATTACAAATGAGAAAAACAATAGGACAAAAAATAAAGCTTATGCACCTCAAGGATTAATGTAAAACAAATATTTCACCCACAAAAAAATGCAAACAAGCATTCCATATGCAATGAACACACACACACACAGAGGAATCTAATAAATTTCGTATAAGAGACAGCTTGGAAGATGTTCTAGAGTTCATAGAAATAATGGATAACTTTGGTCGTAATTCGGTGCTCTATTATATATATATATATATATTATGTTCCTCTAATCTCTATCTATCTATATATCTATCTCTCTTTATGTATGAGTGCATGTGTTTTTCCCTTTGTAATAATGCATGTATTCACTCTCATCAATAGTTTCCTCAAAAGGCCTCATTATTTGTAAAAAAAAGTCCTTAAAAATTATAATTCCTTTTGGTCCTCGCAATTCAAATAAATTATTTACAAACCAAGGAGTCAACTGTATAGGACCCAGAAATTATATGTGTCAAAAGATGAGAAAGAGAAGTCATTGAGTGATAATCTCATATTAACAATGTATATAGCATATTCATCCATCAAGAAACTTAAAAAAACAAAAAACAAAAAAAAACAAAAAACAAAAAACAGAAAAGGGAAATTGAAAACATTCAGGAACAATAAATCAAGAAATTCTGCAGAAAACATCAATTCAAGAAACAGAATCTGTGACAACCCCGCCACGTATAATATTTTATATTTGGTTAATTAAGGAGATTTGGGATTTTAATTAGTCGTTATCCTAATTTAGTTTGGGATTTATGATAATTGTGGAATCTGATTCGTATATGATTCTTTTAAAGATTTATTTTGCAATTAGAAATTAAGGGTCCAAATGGCTTAAGGACGTGAAATTAAGAAGTTGAATCAATTTAATTTTTAATTACGGACCCATTTGGGAGTTTAATTAAATATTCGATTCAGTTTAGTAGAATTGAGATTCGATTAATTAGGTCTGAATTGGAGTTAATTAGGTTAATTAAATTATGAGGATTGAGAATTGTGATTATTACGAATTAAATTTATTTATGGGGTGTCCAGTTTGAATATGTAATTTATTGACGAAAATTTGGAATCTGATTAGAAATTGAAGGCCTAAATGGTTTGAGAAATCAAAATTGATGATGACAATAATTTTAATTTAATATTTGGAGCCTTTTGGGAGTTTGATTAAAAAATAAAAAAATAAATAAAAAATTCTGATTCAGATTAATAAATTTAAATATTATTAATGGGACATAAGTTTTCAAAACAAACTTATATATATACAGATGTGACGTCAAAAATACATTAGTCTTATGTCACCCAATTACATAGATAGGCTCAAAGGGTACTTAGCCCAAGTACAGATATACAAAACAAGCTCAACTAAAGCCTTGACATAATCCTCTCAAAAGGAACCTCGTCAAGAGGCACGGTAGTTGGTTGACAAAACAGAAACATAGGCTGTCAACTCTGGGCCTGGTCACGTACCTGCTCACCTACATACATAATATAAATAGTAAGTTAGAGTCCAATGAATAATAATAGAGTAAAGAGATTTAATGAATGTTGTTCATAACAGTTATAGAAAACAAAATTCAATAGTTCTCAGAAATGAATTCGTAATTATGTTCAGAAATCATAGTACATAACAGATACAGTTTCAGAGTCGTATTCATAATTAGAACTTGTAGTTAATCATACGTGGCACATTCATTAGCACTAGCAGAAACAGTTGACCCATAAAGGGACGACCATAAAGGCATACAGTTGACGTGCACAGAGACGGTACAGTTGGCTCATGAGACGTACAGTTGACCCATAATTAAGACATAACAGAACAGATAACAGATGTCATTTGAAGTTACGAATGCCATTTCAAAAACATTGGACAACCATTCATTCATGAAGAAAATAATATAAATAGAAACATATCATCTTATATCATTCAGAACATACTTATAATTGAACATAGCTTTACAAGGTTATTACTCACAGATAACAGAGGCTCCAAGGTAAACAGACAGAATAAGCAAATCAGATGTCTTGCAACACATGACCTACATAACATAACAGATACATACATTAAAACACACGTCCGGAGTGTACATAACTTATTTCATTATTTTTAGTATGTTTCTAGCCATTATCCTCATTATGGTGTCTACGCTTGAGCGAACATGCAAAACGTGAGGGTTCGCTCGAGCGATCCGTAAATTTTGAAAAAGTACTGGTTGCTTGATTTTCACGCTCGATGGACGCTCGATCCTCGCTCGAGTGTGAGACTCAAACTCTTGCTCGAGCGTGACTCTCGTTGCTCGAGCGTTCTGCAAAAATACTTGAACTTCTGGGAGCTTACATTTCACGCTCGAGTGGACTTATGGTCGCTCGAGCGGAAGTGCACGCACTCAGAGTGGTCGCTCGAGTGTGGACTCCTACGCTCGAGCGTGGAAACAGAATTCTGGAATTTCCATATTTGCTTCCAAAGCTCAAAACTCAATCTTTAAGCATCAAAACTTGATTTTTCAGGGCCAAAACTTGAGGAACACTTAGAAATTCATAATACATCATGAATTAAGGATCTTTTCAAGAAATCATGGCCAAATAATTTGCCAATTGTGCAAAAATTCAACTTAAAATTTATGAATGATCCATGAACATGACATGCATGAATTTCTTTGAACTTAAGCTCCTCAAAACATGATCAAATGCTACAACACAACATGAAACTTGATCATTTCCCAAAATTAAGGTGATTTCAAGACATGCATAAGGGAATTCTTGAAAATTAAACTCAAAATGTGAAAAGATATACATGCATATGCATGGTACGGCTCAATACTCTTCATTTCTAACTCAATTTTTGCATCAATCAACATAATTCTCTTGTGTTCATGCATTATAGTCTAGATTTCAAGGCTTAAGGATAAAATTCTTACCTAGAGACTTGAGTCCACAAGTGTTGAAGTTGAAACTCTCAAATCCTTTTCACTCTCAACAATTTCTTGCAAGTTACCCTTTCTTCCTTGATGAACTCACTCTCACTTTTGGTCTCTCTTCCTTTCCTCACGTTTGTAGATCAAAAAGAATGAAATGAGAGTGTATGGGTGCATATAAGAGTCCACTAGTGCCTTAGTTAGGCTTGGATTTAAGGAATTCATTAATTAGTCTTCATTGAGCACTAATTACTCTAATTTAATCGTTCCGAAATGAATTTCAGTTAAACCCACCATAAAATTCTAAAAATTTCAATTAATACATAAATCAAGTCAATTTCTGAATCGGATGCCGATAAGGCCTTCAATTCGCAAACCGAAATGAAAACATTAACAGATCTTTCTATGTTAAACAGATATATACACACATATATGGCAACATATGATGCAACATTTCACTTCAATTATTTATTAGGCGTAATTAAGCATGAATTAACGTTAATCATGGGTCGAGATTGTTACAGTCTTCCCCCCTTAAAGAGTTTAGTCCTCCAAACTCGAATTACCTTCATTTTGGAAGAATACTGGGTCCAAAGGGAACAGTTCAGGATATCTTTTCATCATGTCTTCTTTTGTTTCTGAAGTTGCATACGTTCCTCCATGATTCTGCCAATCAACATTCACTAACGGAATTTCCTTGTTTCTTAATCTTTTGATTCGGCGATTCACAATTTGTATTGGTCTCTCCTTGTATGTATAATCATCCTTTAAAAGTACATGAGTCTGCTCAATCACATGTAGTGGATCTCTCAAATACTCTCGAAGCATAGATACGTGAGAAACATTATGCATATGTTCCATGACTAGTGGTAAAGCTACCCGATATGTCACTGAATTAATCTTTTCAAGGATTTCATAGGGTCCAACATATCTTGGTGCCAATTTGCCTTTCACGTCAAATCGTGTTTGGCCTTTCATTGAAGTCACTTGATAAATACGTGATCCTCGACATCATATTCCTTATCTCGCCTTCGGACATCTGCATAACTCTTTTGGCGGCTTTGTGCAGTTTTCAACCTCTATCGAATCAATTTCACATTTTCAGTTGTTTCTTGCACAAGTTCTGGTCCCAACAATGGTCTGTCACCTACTTCAACCCACCAGATAGGAGAATGGCATTTCCTTCTATACAAAGCCTCATAAGGAGCTATCCAAATACTTGAATGATAGCTGTTGTTATACACAAATTCGGCCAATGGTAAATAGATCTCCCAATTTCCTTGGAAGTCTAAGACACACATCCTTAACATGTCTTCCAAAGTTTGATTTGTTTGTTCAGTTTGGCCATATGTCTGTGGGTGGTAGGCACTACTCAATCGCAATTCAGTCCCCAAAGCTTGTTGTAAACTCTGCCAGAACCTTGATGTAAACTTAGAATATCTGTCAGACACTATAGATACCGGTACATCATAAAATCTCAAGATTTCATTTATATATATGTTAGCTAACTTGTCTGCATTATAAATAGATTTGACAAGTAGAAAATGAGCAGACTTAGTTAAACGGTAAACAATGACCCAGATAGAATCCATACTTCGGGAGGAGCAAGGCAATCCCACAATGAAATCCATGGTAATGTGCTCCCATTTCCATTCTGGTATTGGAAGTGGTTGTAACAAACCTGCGGGTCGTTGATGTTTAGCTTTAACTTGTTGGCAGTCTAAACATCTAGCCACAAAATCTGCAATACCCTTTTTCATTCCCGGCCACCATAAATTCTGCTTCAAATCATGATACATTTTTGTATTTCTTGGATGCATAGCAAATTTGGAGTTATAGGCCTCAGTCAGAATGCATTTCCTCAAATCATCATAGTCCGGCGCACAAAGGCGACCCTGAAATTTCAACATATTGTTCTCAAGTACAAACTCAGGCCTTGGTTTTGAGTCAATTTCATCCATGATCTTTTTCAAGAATTCATCTTGTGGTTGTTTCTCCTTAATTTCTTCAATGATTGCAAGCTGAGCGGAAATAACAGCTAAGATTTCACCTTGTTCACGCATCACAATCTTAATTTCATTCTTTTCCAGGTCACATAACAATTCTTTCTAGCCAGTGAGCAAACAAGACAAATTCCCAATGGATTTTTGGCTCAACGCATCTGCAATGGTATTTTCCCTCCATGGATGATACAAAATTTGCAGGTCATAATCTTTAATCAATTCTAGCCACCTTCTTTGTCTCATGTTCAGTTCTTTTTGGGTAAAGAAGTATTTTAAGCTTTTATGATCTGTGTATACTTCACAAGTCACTCCATACAAATAATGGCGCCAAATTTTTAAAGCAAAAATTACGACGGCTAATTCAAGGTCATGGGTTGGATAGTTGTTTTCATGAGGCCGGAGTTGCCGAGAAGCATAAGCAATCACTTTCCCATTTTGCATTAACACACACCCCAAACCTTTGTACGAAGCATCACTGTAAATTTGAAACCCATCAGTACCATTAGACAGAGTCAAAATTGGTGCAGTTACTAACTTGGTTTCAACTCTTTGAAGGCAGACTCTCTTTGATCATTCCAATAAGATGAGACATTTTTCTAGGTTAACTGGGTCAATGGCATAGCAAGTTTTGAAAAGTCTTTCACAAATCTTCTATAATAACTAGCAAGTCCCAGAAAACTTCTAACTTCTCTCACGTTGGTTAGTCTTGACCAGTTGACAATAGCTTCAATTTTCTGTGGGTCTATTGATACACCATTCTTGTTAATCACATGTCCTAGAAATGTCACATTATCAAGCTAGAATTCTCATTTAGAAAACTTCGCATACAACTTTCTTTCTCTCAGGATTTGCAAAGCGATTCTCAAAAGATTCTCATGTTCTTCCATGATTTTGGAGTAAATCAAGATATCATCAATAAAGACAACAATAAATTCATCCAGAAATTATTTAAACACCCTATTCATTAAATCCATGAATGCCGCAGGTGCATTAGTTACCCCAAATGGCATTACGAAAAATTCATAGTGCCCGTATCTAGTTCTGAATGCGGTTTTCTCCATGTTTTCTACCTTAACCTTTAAATGGTGATACTTAGATCTAAGGTCAATCTTGGAAAACACTTGGGCTCCCTGAAGTTGGTCAAACAAGTCATCTATTCGGGGAAGAGGGTATTTGTTCTTAATAGTTACTTTGTTCAATTCCCGATAATCTATATATAACCTCAAAGATTCATCTTTCTTCTTGACAAATAGGACTGGAGTGCCCCAAGGTGAAGTGCTCAGACAGATGAATTTCTTGTTTAACAGTTCTTGAAGTTGAGTTTTTAATTCTTTCAATTCTGAGGTTGACATTCTATAAGGGGTCTTGGAAATTAGTTGTGTTCCTGGAGTTACTTCAATAGTGAATTCAATTTCACTACCAACTAAGTCTTCAGGCAAGTCATTTGGAAACACATTGGGAAATTCACAAGCAACAGGAATAGTTTCCACATCAGCACTATCAGATGATGCAGTCAGTATACAACACAAGTAGCCCCTACATCCCTTCCTAAGCAATTTAATAGCTTTCATGGCCGAAATCAAGTATGGGGGAGGAACTATCCCATTTCTAGTAAAAATAAATTCAAGCATACCAGGTGGTCTAAACACAATAGATTTACTTGCACAGTCAATGGTGGCACGGTATTTAGTCAACCAGTCCATACCTAGAATACAATCAAAATGATCAATGTTCAAGGGTAACAAGTCAATATACAATGTCATATCACTAATCACAATATCACATGCCGAATAAACATAAGCACATGTCATAGAATCTCCAGACGGTGTAGATACAGATAACACATATGGCATAGGTTCTAATGGTTTAGTTAATTTCTGAGAGAAAGCATGCGATACAAAAGAATGCGTAGAACCAGAACCTATCAGTACACATACATTTTGAGAACATATAGGGTGTATAGCTGACACCACAACTTCGGTGTTCTGTACGTCACCAGGCATTAAGGCAAACACTCGACCTTGTCTTAGAGGTTCTTTCCCAGTATTAGTTCTAGCATTTGTTTTTGACGCAGAAGCATATCCTGTTGAACTTGCTATAGGACGGTTGGTATTCTCTGACTCGATTGGACAATCTTTTATCACGTGGCCCGTTTTGCCACACCAGAAGCAAGCACCAGATACCCGATGGCAAACTCTTCTGTGTCTCCTCCCAGACTGAGTACAAATAGGCTTTGATCCACCACTTTGACTTGAGCTGCTAGAAGATCCTGTATTTTGTATCTTATTTCCAATAAATGAACAGCCCTTTTTGAAACTGTTTCCAGATCTTTTCCCCATCTAATCAGTTCGTGGGGCAAGAGTTGGTTTCTTTGCTGCCAAAATGGCTTCCGCCATTAATGTCTTATCCAATACATTCACATACGTAGGTAGGTTGAGAACTCCTACCCGATCTAGTATATCTAAGTCCAATCCACCCTCAAATTTGCGGGCTTTCTTATAGTCCGTGTCCACCATGTGAGGAGTGAATCTGGCCAGCTCAGTGAACTTAGCCTCATACTCAGCTATAGACATTCTGCCTTGTTTGAGTTCCTGAAATTCTGAAACCTTTCGGTCCCAGAATGTCACGACCCAAACCCGCCCCTATGGGTTTAGCACCGTAACCGGCCAGTAATCCGAGATTACTGAAGGCCTGCTTAACAGTAATATAGAGTACAGGGGCTGGCGGAAGCCAATACAGTAATTAAACAATGTCCAATGAGCTGTGACAGTCTGTATGCCAAAAAGACTTATTATTCAAATATATATACAGTTGAACAGAACAGTATGCACATATATACAATCAATCGGTCAGGGACCTAATCCCTATTAAACAGTACAGTACAGTAAACAAAATAGTTACAGAGACAGAAGGGGAAACTAAACACCCCTAAGCCATAACTTGACAGGTTCGGAACCTCGCATTGAGGCACATAGGTTGGCTTGACAAAATTGGAGTTTACCCCGACGCTTTTAGCTGCGATCTGGTGCCTGTACACCTACATATATATATATATACAGTGAGCTAAAGCCCAGTGAATAACACAATGCGTAAAGGGGTTAAGAATAAATGTCCTTACAGTAATGAAAACAGTTCATTAAATCAGTATTTCAGTATTTCAGTCGTTCAGTCAGTGCAGTCATATGTGGTACATCCATTAGCATAACAGTACAGTAAACACTTAAAAGACCGAACAGTAAATGATGGCCATCAATCATCAGTTCAGTAATAGTAGTGGTCCAACGAGGGAACCGACAGAGATCTCTGTAGCAGTATCAGTAAACATGTAGTGCTAAGGATGCCACTAATACAGTTCACGAATATAAGGACATACATTCATTCAGTAACACAGTAATATCAGTTCAGAAAGCAAGTACAAGTTTCAATTGTTCAGAAATAATCATTTTTGAACATATCTTTACACAGATGTTAACTCACAGAAGTTTCTGGGCTACAGTAAAGCTAGAGCACTCCCCAGTCGCCAACCCCTAACACAGTTACAGATTAACACACACTAAGCCTACACATTGGGAAAGATAACGCTTAATCCCTAAATGCGCTCGGTTGTGTTTCTACATCTATATCCTCCTTAAGATGTCTTAAACTAGGCCTAAGATGCCTAGAATGAGATGAGGATTAAAGATGCACTTTTAAAAGCATTTTTAACTTTTCGGAAAACAGGGGTCACGCTCGGACGCGTATTTACTCCCGCTCGCGCAGACATGCAGACAAAGGTTTCCGCTCGAGCGTAGACTTACGCCCCTCGAGCGTTCTCAAAACAGAACAAAAGTGCTGGATAGATGAAAATCACGCTCGATTGGGCGCTCGACACCCGCTCGAGCATGAGAACACAATGTCCCGCTTCGAGCGTCAATTAATCCTCGAGCGGACTTTCAAAAAGAACAAAAATGCTGGGAGCACGATTTCCACGCTCGAGCAGCACAGTCACCCGACTCGAGACGTTGAGTCCCAATTCTGGAAATTCCAGATTCGAACCTCAAGCTCAAAACCAAGTTTTAACATAAATTTCATCCTCTTGGGCCAATTTTCCAGAAAACATATCAAAACTCATACTATATGATGATCTAAGGCTCAATTTGTAAAATCAAAGCCCAAGGGTGTTTCAACTAAATCCAATTCAAACCAATTTCATGAATACGAAAACATGCAAACATGCATGGTTAAAACCATTTCAAAGCGTCAATTTGATGCTCTAAGGAGCCAATTGTTCCAAAACAAGATGAAACACATGGACTTAACATAGCCATGAGCATGCATGAGACAATTCTCCATGGAATCAATCTAAATTCAAGCAAGTCAAACATGCATGCATGGAATGAGTTCCAATTCAACATTAATGAACCAATTCATGCCTTAAATCACTAAAGCTCAAGAATATGCAGAATAAGTTCGAATACACAATAAGAAGGTCAATGATTTACCTTAAAGGTCTTGGGATTATGGGTCAATGTTGCTAAGAACCTCAATTCTATCTAGATTCAAGCCAATTCCAATGAAACAAGTTGAAATCAACTCTTCTAGCTCCTCTCTCTCTCTAAGGTCGGTTTGTGTGCAGAAGTGGAAGAAGAAATGTTTTGTTTGAGTGTATGAGCGAGATCAAAAGGGGTCAAGTAGTGGGCCACTCTAGTGCAAAATGTAATAAGACAACTATGCAATTTAACTCAATTTTAATCTAATTTATCATACCTAATCAGTTTTCAGATAAATATGCTATAAAATACATAAATTACGATGATCATAAAAACACTAATCGATTCCCGATTTGGCGCGCCGATAAGGCTCAATTAGCATTCAAACATAAAAAACACAAACAGATAATCAAACAATCAAACACGATAGACATACAATTGAACAGATATACTAGTCAATTCAGTCTTTAATTTCAGTCAGTAGTTCGATAGTTTATTAGTTCACTTATCAGTCAGTTTAACGTAATCAGTAGTTTATTAATATTTCTATAAAAAATTAATCTCAAACTCAATTTTTTAATTATATCATTTTCAATTATTTAAGAAAAGTTACACTAGCTATGTATATAAAAATTTAGAGGGCCAATTACATTTTTCTAATCATCTTTCTTGGTAAAATCATCAAAAGTTATTAAGCAGTGCAGTTTGATATTTAAGTTGTAGCGAGTATAATCTTTTCATTATAAGTTACTTTTTGCGGAAAGGCAGCGCTTTTAAGATTACTTCTTAGCTGGTGTTTAATAAAATTAAAACTCAAAATTAAAAATTAATATTAAAATATGATTACATGAATTTCTTTAAGCTGAAAAAATATGTTTGATAAAAATTTAGTGTTTAACTAAAAATAAGTTATTTGGTTGTTTATAAGATCAAATTTGAAATTTATTATTTTCAATTTTTATATTGTGATTGTTGGCTTTTGTGGCTTTCGAAGGTTACTTTCGTAATTATGAGTCATGCCAGCAAGGATCGATGCAGTCCTTAGATTTGTAGTTGCCAAACAATTATTGTCAGTCGATTGTTGTATGGTTCTTTCTTTCGGGCCTCATAAAAGAGGACTTTTACTGGTGGCTTACCTGGTAATCTTGACTTCAGAAAACTTGAACATACAGAAAATTAAATAAACTGAAATATTTCATTAGTATGAAAAAACTTACAATGATCTTAGTTCCGTAGAGAATTACAAGCATGGCAGCAAGTATACTCGAAACTACTCCTATAAATGAAGTGCGCGCGAGAAACTTAGAAAGTAAGGAATATAAAGGACAAGGAAAATAACACTGGACTATGTAAAATAATTCTTTAGATCTTTTTGCCGTCGCTTCTCCTGAAGTCCTTCCTGCTATTTATTACTTGCTCCGAAGATAACCATCACGAATTGTATTCAACGCGTCGAACTGCTGCCTCCATAGTCGCTGATCATTGCCCCTACCTATAAGTAGTTCCACTACGCCTTCACTTGCAGTTAGGCTTTCCCCGCTTATATTTGAATTTGAATGTGAGCAACCGTTGGACAGCCACGTCACTCGTACGTCCTCCTTTCGATTGAATCTTGCTACGTCAGACCTGCTTATAACAAACACAACTTTAATGGCCACGCTGTATCGATCAGAGATCGGAGGACCTAACCGTGGTCCTCCCATATTACGCCTCGACTTCGCCCACGCGTCGGATGTTTCCACTGGCTTAGTGACAAGAATGTGTAAGGCCAGAACATTACGCCCCCGCACTAATATTACCCTCAAGACTGTGTGATAGTTAGTGTAGTAGAGTCCCTTGGTTCCCAGTCTTAGAACTGTGCATGTGGTTTTGCATCTCTCGCAGAAATGCATGACTGTCACAGCACATCTGTTTTGGAATACTCCTGCCAGTCTTGATCCTGAAGGTAGCTTCTCACTGTCTTATTATGATCGATCAGACCTGATTTTACAATTTCATGGCCAAATTAATGTTCTTTCTCTACCAAATAGATGAAGCATACGAAGAGTCAGTATGTCTATCGCTATTCCTCGTCGAAAGCGATGCATTTAATTAGCCACCTTTTAAACCCCACCTTCCTATATTCAGGTCATGGACGCCTTTGGCAACGGCTTACCGACGCTTTGGATTAACGAACACAGCTCTTAATCTTCGATTCAAAGAAGGCTACAAACAAAGTACATAAGAATTTCCTCCTTCTTGAACATACCTTACCAAGTTTTTTTTTCCGAAACAATCCCCCCCCCCTGCTCTCAAACCTCTGATTTCGTAAATTGCAAACATGGATTTGGAGCAACGTCCTCTTCGCAAATTTCTGTATGGGATAAAAGCTGGGCAGCTGCTTTCCTCCTCGGCTCTTCTGGGGACTCTGAACTGACAAACTGTCGTTTACCTGCAGACTTCTCGATTTAAAGGAGGCTGTAGACGTCCCCGAACGCCCCGTGAGGGTTAGCTTCCGTTCTGTCATTTTGGGTCACTACAGCTCGGACTCTTGAATGTCAACGATCCCTATATCGAACCCAAAGAGTCAAATCCGGCAAATCATTTTGAGAACTGATTTTGAAAAAGTAGTGCCAACATGGACTGCTTTGCCAAAGATACAGAGTCGCCCAACTAAATATTTATTTTGGAAATTTAGGAACCCTGACTCGGTGCCAAAAGCCACGTGTCGTCGTCACAAAGTTGCCTCGGCTCGGAACTTGGTACGATTGGGGAAGGTTCACTTCGTGAGCACCCCCGCTCGCCCGGTCATAAGGACCGGCCTCTACAAACCATGATATCAATTTTTGAAAACATTGGAAGTTCTTATTCTGGTTATTAGCCCTAGTTAC